TTTTATTTGAAGGATTTTTATGGGAATGTGGATGTGATCATCAATCCTGGAGATGTGCTCTAGCTTCTTCGGCTCTTTATACCATACCAAGTGTTTCCTGTTATCATGGGGGAGGTTGGCTTGCAGGAGTTTCTCATTTTTTTAGTTGTTACAATTGTTACAAATGTTTGTTGCCTCCCAATTCATATGTATTTACATATCTAACACCTAAACTTGACTTTTTAAACTTTATAATTGATTTTACTCTTCTGTTTCATGACTTTGTTTTATTATAGTAATAACATAGATAATAAGCTTAAAGAGGTTGCTACACCCGCATTGTGGAAAAAAAAGACACGAAAATAATATTTTGCGATCTTTGTATCAAAGAGATTGAACAGGGAAATAGACTTATGACCCATTTGAATAAAAATGAGTGGTAAAATATTATCAAAAATTTTAATGAATGTACAGGCAGGGAATACGACAGGTTGCAAATGAAGAACAAGTGGGACCAAATGAAGAAGGAATGAAAAATTTGGAAGGAATTGAAAAGGGGTTCTACTGGTCTTGGTTGGGATCCAGTGAAGCGAACAGTTGATGCACCTGAGGAATGATGGGCTGAAAGACTTGCGGTGAGCTATATTTGTAAACTTCTTGATTTTGTAACTTTCTATTTTGTTCTAATTGGGTGTCTATAAATTTCAATATAGGTAGTGTCTGCTGCAAAAAAGTTTAAGCTTTCTGGAATTGAGCCTGAATTGGAAGAGAAACTAGACCGCATGTTTGGGGAAGTCGTTGCAACGGGGAACTATGCATGTAACCCAAGCGATACAGGGTTCGCCAGCAATGCCGTGAATTTAGGAACCCCTGGAGGTTCAGTTGATTTCATTGACATCCCCAACCCATATCAGAACGAATATAAAACTATTTACCGTTCCAAACGTCTGAGGGTTGTTGATAAAAAAAAATTTGGTGCTTCTTCCCTCAAAAACGAGCTATTCGAGGCAGTTTCTTGTTTTAAAGCAGAATGTCAGACTTCTCATTCAAGCACAATTGCGGGGGCACTTAAAATCCTAAGTGCTACAGCCAAAATTTATGCAGATGAAGATTTGTATATGTTCGCAGCAGAATTGCTAGAGGACCCAGTCCGTAGGGATTTCTTTGTGCAGATGTCTGTCACCAACAGAGTGACACAACAGAGTGACATATGAGTGACATATATTCGGTGTTTTTATAATTATTTGAACAATTGATATTTTTTATATTTTTCATCACTAGAACATTTACACTGTATTATCTTTTTTTTTCTTTCTAGAGTTGTGATTGTGAACTCTCTTGTACTTTCATAATTATTTGCAAACATTTTTTTTTCTATTGTCACAAACTCTCATATAAATGATAATTGTTTAGGAAAAACATTTAGTGATACCCATCACTATGAATGCAAATAGAAGAAGACGGATGGAGACCCACATGGATACACGCAGAAGAAAGCGGAGAGGGATGTTTCTGACGGCAATATGTTTGATGTACGAGTACTATAACGCGTACATTGATCGGTCGTCATACATGACATCTTCTTATATTGGCGACAAATGGGTTGGAGAGTTGCTTATGAGGGACCCAACACGATTTTTTAATATGTTTCGAATGAGTCAGGCAATATTTATCGATCTTCTGGACTTACTCGTAGGTCTCACGGTCTTCATGGATCTTCGATGACGAATCCACGTGAGGTGCTCGCAATAACACTGTTCATATTATCCCAAAATCAGTCTATGCGAATAGCAATAAAGCGATTTCAACACTCATCAGAAACAATAAGCAGATATTTCTCAATCGGATTGAGCGCACTTGTTAGCTTGTCCTCTCACGTCATCAGACCCTCAGATTATAAGTTTGAGCAGACACCTGCCGAGATAGCACGTGATGCACAATATATGTCTTTTTTCAAAGTATTCTCTTGGATGCATTATAGTTAACTTTCTAAGAGTAAACAATAATATGTCAAACCTAACATTTACTCATCAGTACTGCATTGGTGTGATTGATGGAACACATGTTGACACACGTATCCTAAATTGTGATAAGGTGGCATTTATCGGATCCCAATAATAATTTTCCACATCCACCTGCAGGTGCGCTCGGGAATGAACTCATACAAATTGTTCAATTTATTAGGCAATTATTACTTGGGATCCCTCCCAAAAACAACTTGAATTTTCTGGGATCCCAAAAACAACTTGAATTTTCATACTAATTGTTCTATTTATTAGACAATTATTACTTGGTTGATGTTGTTTACCCATTGCAACGAAGGTATTTAAAATCATTTCTTGATACGAGATATTTTATACCAGACTTCGCACGTGCAAGTAACATCACACGAGAAAGAAAATAAATATTTATTAAACGACATTCATCGCTACGTAATGTAATTGAGAAGACTTTTAATGTCTGGAAAAAAAAATGGGTGAACTCCGTGATATGCCTCCCTACAATTTTTCGAAGCAGGTACAAATTGTCTTTGCTACAATGCTCTTCATAATTACATAAGAAGACATCATTCCCGTAGCGATATCGACTTCCATTTGGCGGAAGAGCATGAAATTTAACCACACAAGTCTTATATATTTACATATATAACACCTGAAATTTCAGATTTACATGCATATCATTCAAAACTTCATCATCCCATAAAAAAACATCACCATCCTCATCTTTTAAAACTGAAACACACATTTTCATGCATACATTTATGACACCAAGGTGATATTAGTGCCAATACCAAACTTTGGGCGTCAGACAAGTAAATACACAAGAATTATGTGGCATCCACATAAACGTCCCATTTAAATATCACAAAACGAGAGCCCTGCTACACTTTTCCAAATAAATACACACAAAAAGATAAAATTAAACTCCACTTCACTCAGCTAGACCGATCAAAATGTAGCAGGGGACTCCAATCCCAATTTTCTTGTATTGATTTGATTGGGAGTTCAAACCTTGATAAAAAAAAAAAAAATCAATCGCATGAATTACATAAATAAGCTGCTGAAGCACAGCAAAAGAGATTAATTAAATAAAGATGACGCCTGCCTGTAATTCTGGAAGCAGATTGCTTCAAAATTGCATTCTAATTTTGAAAGCCAGCGAAAGTGGCAATTCATTTGCAGGATGAGCCCTCAGTTTAGCTCCCTCTCAAACCCTGCCATTAGCAGGGCAGAAGAACAATTCACTTGCACCTGCCTTGGGGATAGTCTCGCAGGACGTGTTGGACGAACACAAAAAAAGTGTGTCCAAACTCTTTGACCACGCAGCGAAAACATTTGCTTTGATTTTCATCAACAAGCAGATGATAGTTTTTTGGGTAAAAACTGTTTTCCTGCATAAAACAACAATAAATAAGGCATAAAAACATATAACCCAGTCCAGCCATATAAATAAAATAAAAATGTCAAGTTTCAACTGTTTTGTCAAAGAAATATTGAACATCTGAAAGAGGAAAAAAATATTGCGTTCGAGTCCAGACAATGGATCCGACGCACAGAGGAGGAAAAAAAAACCACCACCAGTGTATCGCGTCTGTTGTTCGGACATAGCTTACGTCCGGGCTCCTGACGCCATATTTTTTTCCTGAAAGAGAGTGCTAGGTTGGAGAAATCGAAAAATCTAATGAAGTCTCATGAGGGTACAGAAAATTGAACTTTTTTTTTTTGCTCTTAATAGGTAGGCTCTTAATAGGTAGGGGAAAATGGCAATTATTGAAATAGAGCATAAATTACAGTGCTAAAAAATAAGATAAATTGTCAATAATAGTCTTGCAATTTTACACAGACAAACGTTCCATCAAATTCATAAGCAATAGATGTGCGAGAAACAAATCTCCTAAACATAATAGCCTCAAAATCCACATGCACATAGACAACCATAGATCGATCATCAGACTTCAAAGCTGACGTACAAAGAAAAACATACACTTAAGAAGATCTATAGAGGACCAATAATTTAGGAAAATTTACATACATACCACTCATTTCTTTATCTACTTACATTTCAACAGATAAATATTAATTTTCACACCTCACCTATGCATGAAAGTGTATTTCACTTTATAAGAGTTAAAATAGTGGTATTTTTTATGTGATATGAAAGATTGATTGGTATAAATGTAAAAAGTAGAGTTTAGGAGTTAGAAATGTAAATACATAGGAATTGGGTGGTATGTATGCAAATGGCATATTCACATTACATAAATCCTTAACGTCATGGGAAGAACTAATGGACCCACACGTATTTGCATGGCAGCAGCCTAGCCTTGCAGTAGACGGTTCACATCCTCACATGTCAGAGACAGACCACAAATATGCCTCAGTTTCTCTGGCCCGCTTCTCATTCTGTCTCTTAAATAGCTCCTTTTCAAAACCTGCATAATAATTGATTAAAAGTTAATCACAACAATTCAAAAACTAACGGTCAACTTTGTATTCCAATGGTTTAGCAATGCAAGTCACAAATCAAAATCATGGCCTAATGTCATGACAGTATCGAACAATAACAATCTTAAAACACAAAAATTAAACACCTCACTCTCTCTCTCTCTCTCTCTCATGAAAAGTATCAAAATATGTCAGCATATCAAGTGAGAACGAATTAAAACCAAAATAAAAAAGGTCAGATACAAACCATTGCTCCGATCTACTCCATCCCAATGTCTGCCAGGTCTGATGCCATATCTATTTGGAGGAAAATCCAATCCCCGTTTCATCCAGCTGTGGGTAGGAATAGTTTGAGGAACTACAAAGCCAGATTCTTTCATTCTCTCATTCTTACTCATATCTTCTAGTATTAGCTCCGGGTCTTTCCGCTGCAATGGAATAAAATAAGTAAGAAAATGGAACCAACGAATCAACCAATTCTGCAAGATGGATACCTTAACCAAATGAGCCATCGGATCGCCCCATCTCAACCTCTCCTTTAGCATCTTCTCAAGCTCGGGATCATCTCTATAATCAAAATAAAGTAAACAATAGTTAGAAAAAAATAGACAAAAGAAACTCAAACATCACTTGATACGTTGTACGACAGATAATATAAATAAGTGTTAAAAAAACTTAGTAATGCGCTCTATAAAAAGATATTGTAGAAGAATCCTAATCACAACTAAAATACTGAGTAAACACACAAAGTGGAACTCAAAATTTTCATCAAGAACTGTTGACCTCATTTTTGGTGAGGTCTCTTCTTCTTTTTAGAGCCTAGGGTCTAGACTTTAGGACTTCTTGTTGGACTCTCTTAGAGGACTAGTCTGGGACCCCGCACCAACTAGAATTCAAGACACTTCTGGACTCCTTGCAATTTCATATGGCCGGTTCTAAATCCTCAACGTTTGGTTGAGTCGATTAAAACCAGCGTGACGAAACTCAAGTCGAGTACTCATAGGACCTAATATTATAGGAAACCTATTGTGACTTCCGCGTGTTTTCACGATGCACGAATAACACAATTCGCGCGCTCGTCGCACATAACTATTGAAATTCACGTCATCCACGATTGATCAAACTCGAATCAATTGCTAGAACGATCGATCACAAACGTTAATTTTAAAGAAATTTAAATTTGACGCATTTCGACCCGAATGTCAGTCATCCGGGCGACCACGGATGACGAAACGGACCGCGAGACGCGCCGTCGAATTTAGCTAGAGAGGACACCCATTTTGATGTGGCCTCGTGCACGAGCGGAAGGGCGCGACTCGGGGGAATTTAAATATCATATATTATAAAATCAATATATTTGTATAATATAGCTGCATTGGGGGGGGATCTTATTTTTCTAAATTTCTAATCTGCGGCTGCCCCTTTGGTCTCGTCCCCAAATTGATCCCTGGCTCCTCTCCTTCGTGGAGCCTATGGTCCCCTCCGTTCCTTGACCCGAGTGGAGCCCTAGCCGCGCCTTCCCCTAGTGTTTTCCCCCTCTTCGCGTGACGAGGAGTTGACTATTGGTTTTCTCTCGACATTCTCTGCTCGAGTTGTTTCTTCCCGAAACTTTTTCTTCTTTGTCTCGCTGAGCGAGAGGCTCATTCGTGGTAAGTTGACTCTGGCGCGTTTGTTCCCTGGGTCACGAATGCGGCAATTCCTCTACTTCCCGATAGCTTCTACCTCTATGGCTATTGCTACGTTGATTTTTCTTTTTGTTGGGTAGAGCCCTGAGTTGGCTTCACTCCCGGGTGAGTTACGTGAGCTTCTCCCCTCTCTTCTGCACCTATAAAATCCGTATGTGTGTGTGTGTGTGTGTGGGTGGGGGGATGTTTTATTTTTCTAAATCCCTAATTTGCAGTTGCCCCTTTGCTCTCGTCCCCAAATCGATCCCTGGCTCCTCTTCTTCGTGGAGCCTATGGTCCCCTCCATGCCATGAGCCGAGTGGAGCCCTAGCCGCGCCTTCCCCTGGCGTTTTCCCCCTCTTCGCATGACGAGGAGTTGACTATGGCTTTCTCTCGACATTCTCTGCCCGAGTTGTTTCTTCCCGAAGCGTCTTCTGCTTCGTCTCGCTGAGCGAAAGGCTCATTCGTGGTAAGTTGACTCTGGCGTGCTTGTTCCCTGGGTCACGAATGCGGCAGTTCCTCTACTTCCCGATAGCTTCTACCTCTTGGCTCTTGCTGCGGTGATTTTTCTTTTTGCTGGGTTGATCCCTGAGTTGGCTTCACTCTCGGGTGAGTTACGTGAGCTTCTCCCCTCTCTTTTGCGCCTATAAAGTCCCATGTGGGGGGGGGTTATGAAAACTGGGAGCTTGGGGGACATTGTCAAAATTGCTTCTCGTGCCTATGAACTTGGTGTTTGGGAGTTTTGTGATTTTCTTATGTTGTTTTGCAAAGGCTCAAGCGAGGTACATTTCTCCTCCTCCTCTACTTTTCTTTTCTGCTCGACATAAGCTGTGAGCAAATTTATTCTTTCTTTAAAAAAATAATATATATATATATATAGATTTTCTTATGTTGTTTTGCAAAGGCTCAAGCGATGTACATTTCTCCTCCTTCTCTACTTTTCTTCTCTGCTCGACATAAGCTGTGAGCAAGTTTATTCTTTCTTTAAAAAAGTAATATATATATATATATATAGCAGTGGGTTGTTTGTCTTGGCTTGTATATCATGTTGAAATTGTCATTAGTTGCTAGATCTTTAGTGTTTCTGTTGGCTCTAATCTAAATGTTTCATGTTGTTTGGCCAAGAATATTATGCAGGAAATTGTTTACCTTAGCTGGTATCTCATGTTGGGCTTACAATCAGTTGCTAGACTTTTAGTGATCCTGTCGTGTCTGTTTTAAATGCTTCATGTTGTTTAGCTGCGGATGTAGGCTTATAAAAGGCATGATTCAATTCTTATGCATGGGCGGCTTCTTCTTTGTGTTCTTATTTCATTTGTACCTTTATGTTGAAATTTAAAGTCTATTTCAGCCCTATAAGCTCACGGTTTTCCTCGTTGGATTCCTTTAGTTTTGAAGCTTTTGAAAGTCTTGCTTTGGGGCTTTGTTCTGTTGCTTCTTTGCTGCCCACTCTGTTCGAAACACAAATGTATGGTTATATTTAGCTTTGGGCTTTTTGAAGTTTTGTTTTTGTAAGTTTTACTTTGAGGGCTGTTAGATTTTTGGCTTGTACTTCTCTGTTGCCCCTCTATTTGAATCATATATGGATAGTTATTTTTGTTATGAAACTTTTGGTGTTTTATCATGTTTCTTCTCTGCTAGTAGCTCTATTTGAGAGCCTTGTTGGACTTATCTCATTAGTGTGGGTTGTTGCCTTGCTTCCTCTACTCGAGAGCAGTTATTTGGGTTCCCTTTGTGTTGGCTTGGTGGCTCCCCTGCTGTCCCTACCCGAAAACACCTATTTGAGTTCCTTTGTGTTGTGTTGGGTTTATTCTTCACTAGAGTTGCTGGTTCGAGGTGGACTTGAGTGTTTTGATCTTTGTGGATTGGAATACCTTAATCTTTGTATTTGGAAGAAATCGAGTGCCCCATTTTCGAGGAGCGATTTGTTAGATGTTTGGAGATATTCAGGGCTCAATTCCTTTGACTGAATTGATTGCAATAAAAAAAAAGAATCCTTTTGGTATTTGTTAGGAAGGTTTAGTTGCAATTTGCGGCCTTTCGATACACCTCTTTCGGATTGTTACACCAGTAGCTTGGAAAGTAGAATTAGCTATTGATAAGTGTGCCCCCATTTTGTTGTTTATCTGAGGTGTTCTATCGGGTGAATATTTGAGGCTAACGCTCCTACCATTTTGGCTTCCTTTTTAAACTGGTTTTGGAGGCGAGTTAATCTTCTTTTTTTCATTTCTTTCTTTTAGGTTCGCTTTTCTTGCTTCTTGATTTGGTTTTAGGTGCTTATGTTCGAAACATAAGCACGCATATATAGCTGTGGCTATATATGAACCATCAAGCAAGGTCGTAAGTTGGACGGTCTTTTTTTTTGGGTTTTGGGCTGTGATGACAAAGACATTCGGTGGTAGAGTGAAATAATGTTTCATCCTACGACATCAGGACCCGACTTAGGGACCCGGTGAAATGTAGGATGACAATATTATTCACCGACACAAAACTAGCAGGGACCCATGCTTTTTTAGGCTGTTGGCGGTCCTAGCCCGACGGCGTGATCGACTTGTTGACAATCATATTTTACGAAGCACGATGACAAGAACAGATACGCTATTTATAAAAGTATTTTGACTACGAAAAATTGATACTACTTTTTATTATATGCGTGCCAAAATATAAATTTTAAGTAATATAATTTGATTGTCCACTTGTCAATTACCGGTACTGGGCTGAGGAGTACCCTCCTAAGTTGGTATTGTAGGAAACTTTCTAGTTGAATGTCGGGCTCTAGACATACAGGTGACTGATAGTTGTCTTCGGAGTCCCTCGAGAATACCTAAATCTAAGTCTAGTCCGACCCAAATGTTTACAGTTTTCTTTCTTTCCTTGGATTTTTCGTGTGTTTCCCACGGTTTTATTGGGATATTTATAGATCATTCGTGATTTTCTCCGGATTTTTCTTGTGTTTTTGATGGTTTCTTCGAGTTACCGTGGGTCATTTGTCCTTTTTCTCGAGTTTTTCAGGTGATATTTGTTATTCATTCTTGTTTATATAAATTCATGCTTACACATTTTTTTAAATTCCTTTCATTATACTTGTTTATTTGTACATGCTACACCGACCTCATTTACGGGAGCACCGACCCGTCAGGTAGACAGATTTGTTTTATATTTACATCGTCTCGTTTTCTTCACTGCACACTTTACTGCATATATATATACAGTTCATGCTTGCGATGCTATTGTTTATTGTTTATTGCGTTGCGAAGCATGTTTCCCTTTTATTAATCATGTTATTTTTATAGAATTGCAGGCACCTTTTAGGATAGAGGACAGTAAGACACCCGGTTTAGGAGACACCCTATAGCGAGCCACTAACCCAATATCCACATATTTATACACACCACAACCCCAAACCTATAATCGATATGTTAAAGCGCTTAGAGTAGTTTTTTCCGAGAAGCGGAGTGTGGAAGCAAGCGAACGGAGAAAGGCGATCGAAACCACGACAACGAAGTGTGGGACATCCCTTCAGGGTTAAGGTCCAATCCTAGAATAGTTGGGAAGTCAGTGGGGTTCCCCCGGATCTGTGACATCCCCTCCTTTTCACTCCATTGACTCCTGAAAATAATTGTTTCTATTTTGAGCCCTCCCCCTTTGATTTCCTCATATTTAATCTTGAAAACTTAAACTTTGCAATCTTGAAGGCAAAACCACTAGTCTTAATCGAGAGTCTTCTTAGGTGATTTCGATTGCTTAAGATGTAATTAGCTATATGTAAGGGTGTAAACGAGTCGAGCACCAGCGAGTCCAAGCTCAGCTCGTGTTTGGCTCGTTTATATTTCGAGCTCAAAAATTGTGTTTATCTCGTTTGTTTAACGAGCGGAACACGAGCCATTCACGAACAAAGAGTCATTTTGACAACCCTATCACGTAGTCATAAGATGTTCATGATTTGTGGCAATATTTAAAACATCATTTGAATCTAATTTAATAGTCTTTATTCTATTTTCTTCATTAATACTTTTAATTAATTATAAATCTTTGTAGCATTGTAGTCAATTAAATTTTTAAAAAATACTACTTATCAAAGATATATATAATTGATTAGTATTTAGAGCCAAAACAAGCCGAACACGAACGAACAAATATTTTAGCGAGCGAGCCGAACACGAGCTTTTTAAAGATCCGAACACGAGTTGTTCCCGAACAACGAGCCGTTTTTACAGGCCTAACTATAGGGGCTTGCCTCTATAGAAAACTAAAGGACCCAACTTAATATAAACCTATTTAACTTTTTATGTTAAATAGTGAAACTTGTCTGCTTATAAAAAAATGTTTCGCAGACCAAACGGACATCACAAACTCTTTAGTTTAGTGGTTAAGCCAACGGACATCACGAGCCGTTTTGACAGACCTAACTATAGGGGCTTGCCTTTATAGAGAACTAAAGAACCTAACTTAATATAAACCCTATTTAACTTTTTATGTTAAATAGTGGAACTTGTCGGCTTATAAAAAAAGGTTTCGCAGACCAAACGGACATCACAAACTCTTTAGTTTAGTGGTTAAGCCTACTAACAAACGATATGATTATCCTTCAGGATAGCGTGCTATTTGCGGTATCGTGCTCAGCCTCCTAAACTATCAAATATGTGAGATTCGTTCGGTCTCACTTTTCTAAGTTAAAAAATATATATTATCATTTTTCCCAAAATTATAGTCATATGTAAATTATATTGAAACATTATTTTTCAAAGTTAAAATACTATTTTATAGAATCATATATATATATATATATATATATATATTAAATATTATATTTTGACATTGAATCATTTCATCCACCCCAAACATTTTCATTTTCATTCGAATAATTCATTTTGGCCGACAAGAACTAGTTAGGTGTAGTTGATATGGGGCCAAATGGGGTTAGTTTTCTGGATATTTTAGTTTCCAAACCACTACCACATATCCATTTGGCTATTGATTCCTTATTGCTTTTCAAACACTTCTGTGAAAGGAAACTGCTTTTAAGAATAAGCTCTACCAAAGCATGGTAACTATGCAAAAATTATTGCCCGATACTTTCAAATATATATACATATATAAAACTCACAATTTCGTCAAGATTTGTTTTCCTCGTAACAACTTTACAACCATATTTAAAAAAAGTCACAGCAGCACGAATGGACCCCTGGTGCATGCAAATAATCTGACATGAGAAGATATTGGCAATTCAGCTGTTAAGCCAATGGATGAAAAGTATTTTTCACCAAGCCCCAAGAGAAATACACCCATGAATAAATTCCAATATCATCATGTCAAACCAATAAAAACTCTACAAAAATACATTCAAAACCAGTTACCATCATGCCATAAACAACTTCAATTACATATAAAGACAACTTGTATCGCACCTGCTAGTTTGCAGTAAGAGGCTACACAAATATATGTTTCTAATATTATATAATATATATATATGACCCAAGAAATATTGCATTAACAACAATCTTAGAAGACGAGATTTATTTCGTTGTGCCTAAGGTTTTAAACTCTTTCATTCAAATTTTTATAAAAGATGTTAAACGGCCACAAGGAGTGGAGAAAGAGTATTTTGGTCCCCATTTTTAAGAATAAAGGGATGCAAAAGAGTGCAAATTATAGAATTAAGTTGATGTGTCAATTAAGGGAGAGGATAATCGAGTAAAGGTTAAGACGTATTACAAGGATTTCTCATGATCCGGGCAGGTCAACTATTGAAGCTATACATTTATTGGTAGGTTTGATGAAGTACATAGAGAATAAGGGGGATCTACATATGATTTTTATTGATTCAAAAAAAGCTTGAGATAAGATTCCAAGAGATATTCTTCGGAGACTTCTAAAGAAGAAAGGTGTTGATATGACTTATATTCAAGTCATTAAATATATGTATACTAGAGCAGTTACTTGTGTTAGTTACTTGTGTTCGAACATACTTGTGTTCGAACAGAAGGAGAATTGACCAATTATTTTCCTCTTTCAGTTGGATTACATCAGGGATCAGCTTTAATCCCATATCTTTTTGCTATAGTTATGGATGCTCCTGGACATTTACAGAAGGAAATACCTTGGTGAATAATTTTCGCTCATGATATCATTTTTGTGGATAAGACTAGAGAAAAAGTTCAAAAAAAAGCTTGAATCATGGAGGTCAACATTGGAGTCTAAAATCCTTCGTTTGAGTAGAACTAAAAATAAATACATGGAATATAATTTTAAAAGTAGTAGCTCTAGTGATAGAATTGTAACTATGGGTGATCGAATTATTAAAAAGTGTGAACGCTTTAGATATCTTAGGTCTATTGTTCAAGGTGATGGTGATATAGATGGGGATGTTATTAGTAGAATCGAATTTGGTTTAGTTGAAGTGGAGAAATGCTTCGGGCCTATTTTGTGATAGAAAAATACTGCTTAGACTGAAAGGAAAATTTTATAAGATTGTGGTGAGACCTACAAATGCTCTATGACGTTGAATGTTAACCTTTAAAAGAGAAGTATAAAACTAAGTTAAGTATTGCCGAGATGAGAACCAGATAATTCTTGCAGACAACATGTAGATATGTAAGTTCCCTGGATACCATAAAAACATGAACTACTATGTCAGATTTCAGCTCAAATGAACAAACAAAAAGGTAATACAGCAGAACACATGCATAAGTCACCATGTTGAATTAAACATAAAGTTAAGAATCATTAGACCTATAACAAGTAATGTTGGTCTTATTTGGAAAAAAGATTATGAATTAACTGCAATAAAACATAACCTCGTGAAGATCTAACGCATGAAATAATTAATCATACCTAGAACGTGCAAAAGGCCTGTCCTTCTCAAGTTCCAGCTCTTTCCGCTTCCCGCTTTTGTGCTAAACCTTTGCCCCACTCCAGCGGCTTCTCCTGCAGCAAATCAGAACATTCAAAAAGTACAGATCAAAAACTACTACAGAAATTGAATGAACAAAGATCACATAAAATTGAAGTACTAGTAAAATTACAGTCAACCAATCTATATATACAGAGAGAGAGAGAGAGGAATTAAGATTAACTTTTTTGTCCTTGGAGAAGAATGATCCTCCTCTGTGTGTGTGTGTGTGTGTGTGATTTTTTTTTTTTTTTTTGAGGAGAATGATCCTCCTGTGGTGATATAAAATATGAAAACTAATCATAGATAGACCTCATCATTTTCATTGAAAAGTAACCATACATCAACATGAAAAAATATGTGCACGATCAGATGTGAATATACACAGAGAGAGAGAGAGAGAGAGAGAGAGAGAGAGAGAGAGGGAGAGAGAGAGATGACTTTTTTATCCTTAGAGGAGAATGATCCTCCTTTGTTTCTTTCAGCATCTAACACATTACACAGACTTCAAATCCAAAAGCATGTCATTAAATGATGATAAAAAATATGAAAATTAATCATAGCTGGAACTCATAATTTTCATAGAAATTAACCATATATAAACCATCTATATGTGTATCATCAAATGTAAATAAAAGCCCCTTGACAGTCAAGATTTACCCATTGTCCCACTCATCGCACAAAATTATCCAATATATAAATATCATAAAAAACCCACACATATTTAAGTCCAAACCTTTGCAAAAAATACACCTTGAAAGTAGATGCCTACTTTTAATAACATCCAAAAGCCTGAATGACCCTAGCCTAACAGTTGAAAGTTATAATATCAAAATCACGCATACATTGATAGATACATATATTCATACATACATATGCATAAACATGTGTGTGTGTGTGTGTGTGTGTGTGTGTGTGAAGGTTGATTTGGAATCTAAATCGAATATAATGGCTAAGTAGTGATCAGTTTTGTTAAGAATTTAATCTGCCATGTGAAAATGTTCAAGAATAATGAAACTTCCCTTTTGGGGAAGAAATGTTAAAATATCTAGGCTTATATTCTAATAGTAAATACTAAATAGACTTAAACTAATTATCAATTAAGAATAATATGTAACAAGATATATATATATATATATATATATATATATATATACATATAGAAAGACTAAAGGCTAATATATTAAATAGAAAGAGAGATACAGATACAACGTGTGAGAGGGCCCAAGCATGGCACCCTGCCCACACAATAACCATAAATGGTTCCAAAACTAGAAAATACAGAAAAGCACATGAGAGACTTAAAGAAAAAACCTAAAAGTGTCGAAGTACATAGTATCAGGTGGCTAAAGAGCGACCCAATTTGGTCTTGCCTCTGCCTCTAGTTCTAGGGAAGAAGTCAGCTAGTAAATTGGTAAGATGAGTGTCATTGCAAATAGTAACCAATGTATCATCCAATAAGTTCCAGAGCTCGAGTTGGCCTCCATTCTTCTTTTTTCTCCTGGAATAGACCTGTCATTCCTCTTCCGAAGATTGACTCGCCTGGTCAGTGGATTGGTCAGTGGATCGGTCTAAAGTGTGTCGGACATGTGTAAGTTGTTGAACATTAGAAGAAATTACATGTTGTACCAACCGATCTTATATTGGATCAAGGGAGCACTCTCGTGTGTCTTGACATGTAGGTGAGCCCTCTTTAACAGTGGGTGGTATAAGCATGACTGGATCTGTAGCTGTAGTATGGTGTACTTCGTCAGGAACTGCGGTGTTGGAAAGAGGATCGGGTTGCATCTTCTCAACAGGGATAGTAGGTGGCTAATCTTTAGCGATATTCGACCTTAGATGAGGATGCAAGCGATAGCAAATAGTAGAACTGTGACCAAACATACTGCAATGAGAGCAATAAGTAGGGTGTGGTTCGATTTCAACTTTTTGTCAATACCCGTTGTGGGTGGTTCCAATCCATACCTCATCCGGAGCTAGTTGAGTGATATCCCTCTCAACTAACACACATGCCACAGAGGGTCTGGTGATAGCAAGCATAGGACTATCAACCTTGAGAGGCTTACCATAAGTAGTTGCTAAGAAGTAGAGAATTTCCAAGTTGAACAGATGTAATTTTAACTCTGGAAACTTTATTCAAACAAAAATGATAGGGGACTCCGCTTTTGAATCAAAATCAATAGCCCACTTCAGAATTTTCATTTAACGATTGTCGACCTTGATAACTTTCCGAGAAAAAATGCTAGTATAACCGGCATCATAAGATAATTGAATCAGTATGTGTCGGCCATCAAGTAAATCAATATTTCAATTGTCAAATAGCTTCATAGCATCAAATTCTTTTCGAATAATCTCAAGTTTTGGGTGACCATAAAGAAATTTCTCCAATAGAGCAAAACGCCAAGAAGATGCGAGAGTGTTGGTTTCAACCACTGTGAGAATAAGAGCAGGCTTTTCATTTTTTTTCCAAATTTTTTTAATGAAGGTGTGATCACCACCACCTTCAAGAGCCTCGTGAAAAGATTGTGGAACATTGCAAAACCTACCTATATGAAAACCAGTCTCTGAAAGAGTAATGAGGCCGTCGGCAAGTGCAGTGACATAGGAACAGATAGTCGATGTCATCTCTGCCGATAAGATGGTGTTTGTCGGGCAGGAAAACAACAATTGTCTGGAATAGCGAAATCGACGTCGTTTGGAAGGAGACGACTGTGAAGGAAGTGTCGTTGACTAACGAAGACTTCGTCTGGAAGGAATAGCGAAGTTGCGTCGTCTGGAAAGAATGGCGAAGTCGCGTCGTTTGGAAGGAATGGTGAAGTCGAGTCGTCTGGAAGGAGACAACTGCGAAGGAGGTGTCGTCGTGCAGGACGCGAGCCGCGACAACACGAGGTGTCGTCGTCTATTACAGAGACGACGCGAGCGAGCGTCGATGACAAAGAAGTCTGCGAGCGAGCGTTGTCGAGAAAGCTGTGAGGAAGTGAGAAAACAAGGAAATCACTGTCGGGAATAGCCATCCAGCAAAACCCTAGCAGAGCCCGCCGCCACTACCGAATATATATACTAAAGGATAGAAAAAGAGAATATGATGAGAGAGAGCTTCATTTCGAAGGAAACCTTCACAAAACATTTATAAATTTTATTTCATAAACATAATAAAGAAGTGATAAACTCCTATAATCCCTGCCACTATTTATATCACAAATCAATTTATTTATTAAAAGAAATTCTACTCTCATCTGCAACATTCACTCACCTATATTCTCAACCAATCCATATATCTATAACTAACATACATAATTTAACAATTAATATGGCTCAAACTAATTACTGTCCAAATTTAATTTTTATATATGGTTTTTTTAAGTTTGGCATTGTTATTAAAATCACATGATAATTTATTAACTTAATAGTTCTAAACTAGCTTTATATTATCAACAATTTTATTGGAATAAAAGTAGCACTACCTATTTTCTAAATTATTAAATAAAATCAAATATATTAAATTTTTACAATAATAATTTCCTAAATTATTAAATAAAATCTAAAATGATAAATTTTTACAATAATAATCATGTTTACTCTATCATACATGGCAAAAGACAAATTAATTTCTTGGCCACGTGATTGTCTAATGAAATTTTAGGAACAATATGTCCTTCATAGTTGGATAAACTGGTGTGTTACTCTATGTCTACACAATGCCATCAAAAGCAATAAGCTTATAAAACTGTGTAACAATCAAATCATATATCACAAGGAGATAGAATCCCTGGTACCAACCAAGATGGCAGGAAAGCCGGTTGGCATAAATTGAGAGAGGCAAGTGACTTTGGCACCTATTAGGTTGAGGGAAAGACAACCAGCCAAACGCCATGGAAGAAGACAAAACTTAGAGAGCAACCATAGTAATAATCCACTTAATTCCAAAAGAAAGTTAAAAATATAAATATCTCAAGGATTGGACATTGAATGATTTGATATATCATGCAATTATCTTTTCTTAACTTTGACGGTTGTTTAAAGGCAAATGTTGTCAAAGGTGGTACTAGCAGTATCAGTAGAACAATAGGAAAAAGCATTTGAAACAAGGAGCTAGGGAAAAAACATGAACATTCACATATTGCTCACTCTCAAGCTGATCAGACTGTACTGTGAAATTCATATTAGATTCATTAATCTTAAGGTCGTTAGATGCCTGAAATTTATGACTTCACAGATTTCATTCCTCATCAAAACCCAAAATACCATCATATGTATCTCATTCTCACTATAATCCTATATCAAATCAACTATGACTAAGAGAACAAACAAAAAAATTGTTCGGAATTTCACTAGTGGATATTTTAATTAATATTGAGTGCAATTTTGATTGTGCGGAGCAGCATTACTTCATGGATTTAACAGTCTCTATTCACTCAAGGTAGCAAATCACCTATAACATCAATTATGACATATTTTACAATAAGCATATGCTTAAGGAAAGAGAGAGAGAATCAATCTTGAAGCAACCTCTTATAAGTAGGAAATACCAAATAATGTTGGTCGTACATCCGTTTGTGTCAAGATTCATTCTTCTACAATTCCCAAGCAATTGGCATATGAAGAAGCAACACTGCTTTCGGGCTACCATCATTGAATCGCCTCAAGAATGTGAAGACCAATCCAACAAATCAATAAAATCAAAAACCAATCCAACCCATATCCTAAAAACAAATGCCAAATCCATCTAATGACCTAATTTTGACATCTAACAGCCTGTATCTCACAACCTCGTGGTCCATCTGTCTGCCTGTCTTATTACTCCCAGGAGCAAAGTAGTTCAACATAAGAAATATTGAAGAAGAGATGTGTCAGACCATTAAATCGGCCCCTAACTAGAGATCTGATTCTAAAACCCTAAAAAATGATTTGAATTTTTTGGAATCTCTTGGAAAAAACCATGCAGTGTCTTTCTTTCTCAATCTTTTAATCTTACTTAGGGTCTATTTGGGGCAGTTATAACTTAAAAATAAGTTGGTGCGTAGAAGTTGTTGTGGATAAATTGACTCTCTGCTTGTTTTTTGCAATTTAAAATAGCTATGTTGCTGTTGTTTTTAAACAAATGATCATTCTACCCTGTATAGTAATGTTATTTGTTAGTCTTTGTTGTTGAAATAGATTGGCCTATTTCCCAGATCGAACTCCTTGAAGCAAAGATCGCAAAATATTAATTTTGTCTTTTTATCCCACAGTAGATGAACCGTCCTCTTTTGTCTTAACCATTGTATTACTAGCATGAAAAAACTAATTAACATAAACAAAAATGTTATAATAACACAAATCAAAGAAAAATAGGAATGTCACACTTCGACACACCAGCATGCCACCAACACATCCACCACACCTCCACACACCAGCACACCACAAAAACATCCACCACACTACCCACCTCCCCACAAAAACAACCACATACTAACCATCGCCTCTACACCCACACACCACCACCTCCACACCAACAACTCAACACACCAGCACATCAAGACACCAACACATCCAACACACCACCACCACCACCTCCACATACCATCACACTAACCACCACCTCCACAACCACACACTAACACCTGCACACAGACACCGTCACCTCCACACACCACCACACAAACATCACCAAACACCAGACAGACACCAGCACCTCCACACAGACACCAACATCCTCTATCACACACATAAACACACACCAACGACCACAACACCATCACCTCTACACATCCACCAACACATCCTCTAACACAAACACAACCACACATCAACAACCACCTCCGCAACACCGTCATCTCCACACATCCAATAACACATCCTCTAACACAAACATAACCACACACCATCCACAACCTCCACAGTACCACCACCAACAATCCTTTAATATAAACACAGAGGTAAAGATAAAGCTCCATTCCAGATTTCTTAAACTCTCACTCAAACATCAAAGGTAAAGATAAAGCCTCATTCCATATTTTTTTTTATTTTTAGGATACCACATACAAAGGCACCAGGCATTGCAAACAACAAATCAAGCAATCTCTTTCAGTCATTTCTCAAACTCTCACTCAAACATCAAATGTAAATATAAAGTCTCATTCCATATTTTTCATTTTAAGGATACCACATACAGGGCACCGGAAACATTGTTAACAACAAATCAAAGCACCATCTTTCAGTCATTTCTAAAACTCTCACACAAACATCAAAGGTAAAGATAAAACTTCATTTTATATTTTTCATTTTTAGGATACCCAATACAGGGCACATGAAACATTGCTACTAACAAATCAAGCACCCGAAACAAAACATACATCGCACTGGAAACATTGTTGTTAACAAATCCACAACCATCTATCATCCAATTCTCAAATTCTGACTCAAATATCAAAATTCTTTATAAAATCTCAATCCATATTCATAAAATACACAGCAGCCGAAACACTGTTATTACAAAAATCAACACCAACATATATGCATTTCTCAAATTCCCACTCAAATACTAAAAACATACCGAGTAGAGCAAAACATGAATCATCCATTGGGGTGATAGATATGTAATAATACCAATAAAACCAAAACTAACATAGGAAATCCACCAACTGAACAGACCAAAACACAACTGAAATCGCAAAGCACAAAGCTTCAAAATCATAAACCAAATTCATCATGGATGCAACATGTAGCATCAAAATCATCAACCGAGCAGATCAAATCGAAAACCACCAAACCGAGCAAATAGAGAATTAGAGAAAGGAACCAACAACCAAACCGAGAACCATTGCGCAGCAGCATTTGCATAATCATAAAGCTACTGAATAGATATGGTAAAGATTACTGAAACAGAGAGGAGAGGTAGAAGATGGATTACCACGCAGAGTCCATAATGCGCGCAACCACCAAACAGAACCGAAGAAGAGAAGGGACAGGGAAAGACCACCAATAGAAGAAAGAGAATCACTGCACAGAGCACAGAGCACATAGTGCACAGAACTACCAAATCGAACGGAAGAAAAGAGAGGAGAGGGAGAAATATGTAAGGGACACTGAAACAACCACTCGCAACAAACAAGAAGCAACCGGAAATAACGCCTAGCCACCAGAGCCACAGATCTAAGGGAGAGAGGTACCCAAGGCAGAAGAGATGCGAAAGGGAGATACAGGGTCAAGAGATGGACAAAAGGGTCGCTGGGTAAAATGTACGCAAAGAAACGCGTGACGTGAGATCGAACCCGCAGCCGTGTTTTAACATTAATTATTTACGAACGTCGCCGCACCGTTGTTTCCAAACGCCCTAATTCACGTTTTCAAATTGCACTGCGCAAAAAATGCTGCCCTAAACGGGTCCTTAGACTTTAGCCTCCAAGTGTCTTCCCGGAAAGCATCACTCAGGGCAAACTTGCATTTTCTTTGGGCATGTGTGCAAAAGGTGAATGACTATTGCGAATGGAATGGCCTAAAGACCTCTAATGACTTGTAGCCATTTCTACCATACAATAATTTGTTATTGTCTGCCAAAAAGTTTCCTATTCTTGCTAACTGGTTGTATAGGATGATCATTTAGAGCCATGGAACTTGATACTCCATCTAAAGTTTCACTCCTTAATGGCTACGTAAGGCAACCCACAACATTGTAAATTCTTGCACTCCCTCACAAAGTCTAGCCTCACCTAGGTCTTCAAGTGAGTACTCAAACACCTTTAACAGCACTAATAACGATAGTTAAAATTAATTCCTCGCTTAATGAAAGGAACCTCAAATATTACAAGGTAAGATACCAACTAGATCTAATCTACTATTATTTAAGATGCAAGCTTAATACTCCGTTAGAGGCACAATTTAAATCAACAAGAAGAAACAAAAAATTAGCTACTTACCAGATAACATGTACATGCAATCCAACAATCCATAAAGGTGTTCATGCATGAAATTTAAGGTCCCAACCAAAGACACATCTTCTTACCTCTTTCTTCTTTTTTTCCTTTGATTTCATTAACTCCTCCTTTGAAATCCTTTTTCCTGAAGAAGAAAATTACTAAAGGTAACACCATCTGGAATTATTTTGTAAATTGGAAATCCACATAAACAAATTTTGAAGAAATTTCAACAGTTGTTGTAAATTATATTTATTGTTATGAGGAAAAAGTATCAAACCTTCTTTATCACGACACACCGCTTCTGCACCTTTTCCAGTCAGCAATGGATCCATTGCAGCAAACCTTCAAGCACAAAATAGACATATAAATAGTAAAAATGCGAACAAAGTCATCTCTAATCACAACAACTTTCATATTTAGGCTTATGTACTGCTAAACTGCTATAATGTTCAGAATATAAACTCACCTAGACTTTTCCTCCATCCTCTTCCTGCTTGTCTCCTCTCTCATTTCCTTACGTGATAAAAGACCTCCCCGCTTCGTCTCCTTAGTCAATGATGATTCCTTAATTCTAGAAGGTAAAGAACCAGTAGCAGGTAAATCTGCATTTCCATCACCCTCTAATAAACCATGCTCTAATAAACCATGGTGTACCCTCCGGGGCGTAGGTAAGTTCGGGTGCGAGAGGTCAGAAAGAGAAGAACTCTGCACGTCAGTGGCTTCCAAAGAGCGCTTGGAAGCCCTACGCGGAGGAGATAAATCATTAGGAGACCTTTTAGTTGTTCTCCTAGGCGGAGAAAGATCAGCGGCAAGTGAAGATTGAGCTTGCCGGTAAGGAGACAAATCATCCAATGCTCTTTTTCTAGTCTTGCCGAGTGGATGAGGTTCAACTTCAGGTGATTTTTTATATCGACGGGGAGGAGACAAATCATCTACAGACCCTTTCCCTGGTTTCCTCAGGAGGGAAAGGTCGTCGTCAACCGAGCCCCGACCTGCCTCCCTACCCTGTGTGCGGGATTTAGCACGCCGTGGCGGTGAAAGGTCCTCAACATGCCGTCTTCTAGGAGGTGATAGATCGCTGCCGTCCCCGGCAGGCCCGCTTATTTGAGTCTCCGGGGAGGGCGTATCCAAATGGCGCCGCTTATGGCGAGGAGGAGACAGATCCTTGTCTGAAAGAGCCGGCTTCTCATCGATCTCCATCAACTGGTGCGGGGGTGGCGAAAGGTCACTGTTCCCATAATCATATATATTCCGGTGAGGCGAGAGATCTCGGCCATTGACAGCGGAAGGTCTAGACGGCTTAGGAATCGACACCCACCCGCTTCCATCTTCATTGATGCTATGGTAAGGCTTGCTGGAACGAAGCGCCTGAAGCCTCTTCATCCTCTTGACCTCTATATCTTCTTCAACCTGAGGCGTTTCATCACCTGGACAAAGAAAACATAGCCTGAGCTAAAACCAAACTCGAAAACCAAAATACGAACAGTTCCTTTAAGTAAATTACCCGCAAAATCATCTTCCTCCTCAATATTTTCTAGCTGCAAGGGTTTTTGCCAGACGGGGTCGTTGTCGACGACGAGCACTCCGCCACCGGTCGATGGGGGCTTCGGCTTCTCTTTCTTCTTCTTCTTCTTAGCATTCTTCGGCTCATCGATGCCGGACTGGTATCTCTTCAGATATTCCTTGAGGGAGAGGGAAGAGGACGCAGCCATATATCCTTGACGGCGGAGAAGTCGGCGTGAATAGAAGCGCCGGCAATAGTAAATCTTGTTGGAAGACAGATTTTCGAGATTTGGAGAAGCTAAAGAGCGCAATAGTAGAAGAGGTTGCCTTCGTCAATTGTTTTATGAGTGGATCGGGGAAGAAGAAAGATGGGAGCTTCGGAGATGTTTGTACGTCGCGATATCGCATTTGCCTTCCCAGCTCTAATTATGGCTTGAAATCGCGAGCTTTCGTTTCCGAAGGCTATGGTTTTGGAAAAAATATTACATCAGTACTACGCACGTAGAGAAACGTGCGTACCCAATGAAATCACGCCACAATATCCCGCGCGACGCAGAAAAAAAAACGGCGCAGTAACACGGGGAATATTCCTCCCCGTGTTATTCATGTGTTATTGTGT